ACAAAAGCTATGTACATGTAAAAAAGCTAAATAGTTTGGTGCAATGGTGCATAGTGCATGGATGAAATAATAAATATAAATATACAGTGTGTGCAGTATATTGGTATGTACAGATATTTTACAGGTGATGTTACTGATATTTGAGTCCGGTTTTAGCTGTTTGCCACAGAGACAGCGTGAGGGAAAAAACTGTTTCAGCATACAGTGTTCTGTAGCGCCTTCCAGAGGGGAGAAGTTTAAACAGTTTGCATCCAGGGTGTGATGGGTCTGCAGAGATGTTACCTGCCTGTTTCCTGACTCTGGTCAGGTACAGGTGCTGGATGGAGGGCAGGCTGACACCAATCATTTTCTCTGCAGACCTTATTGTCCGTTGCAGTCTGTTCTTCTCCTGTTTTGTGGCCGATCCAAACCAAACAGTGATTGAAGAGCAGAGAACAGACTGAATGATGGCAGAGTAGGATTGTGAAAATCTTATGAGTTCTTCTTTGGAGTATGTGGCCAGAGAAGGGGCACAAAAGACACAACAAATACACAAAAACGTAGAAAGTACAAAGAGCGAAGTACCGAGGCAACCGTCCGCGGCGCCATCTTGAGGTAGATGTGTCTGGTTTTCAAGAGGATCACCTCATCAGTGACCACCACCCAATCACATCAGCATCAGGTCTGTGCTGTGTGTGTGTGTGTCTATCTATAGTTATGAGGGCCAATTTTGGTTTTAGGGGTTAGAATTAATTTAAGGCCAGGGTTAGGGTAAGGGTTGAGGTTAGGCATTTAGTTGTGGTGGTTAAGGTTAAGGTAAGGGGCTAGGGAATGCACTATGTCAATGAGTGTCCTTACAACTATAGAGAGCCGTGTGTGTGTTTGTGCATGTGCATGTGGGGGCGGGTACAGAGGGTGGGTGAGACTTGAGCTCCATTTAGACAAACTGTACACACAGAGGGAGAGCGTAACTGTGGGCGCACATGTGCACCTGCCTCTTGGAGAGAAGGATATCACACTTTATTATATTAGATTATATTACTTTAAATTATTACAGAAAGAAAGACCAAAGTCTGAAGGAGAATTGAACTTTTGCTGTTGGGAAACAGAGGCACCAACTAATACTGATCATCCACTGGAGCAGAACAACTTTTAGTAAGTCACCTACATGTGTATTAATGATTGTTTCGTGGAAACAAATGTCAAGGCCTCCCCCTTCGAGCCTGTTTGGAGGAATTCCTCCCTCTAATGAATGAGTTTGTTGCTGTTATGCGTTGTGAGTCACTTTCATTAAGGATTAACTTTGTTAGGACTGTTGGAACACATTAACTGGACTGAATCAATCCTCCTGCACATGTTGAGAGTTAATGATGACAGTGGCCTGTAGCATTTGTACCGTTCAGCTTCTGACAAGTGATTTGGATGAGCTTAAAGTCACATTTCAATCAGTCAAAAAATGTTTGGCCCATATTCTATAAAGGACTTCACATGGTGCGACATCCCCTGCCCTTAACCCTTAACATTTGTTATAGTTTATTTTGATTTGTTCCATGTGCTAATAAGGACAAATATCTGTGTGAAGTTTACCATGACAATAATTATTTGCAGTCAGGTGGGAAAAGCGGTTAACATTAGTTCCCATTTATGGTTTATGACTGTCGTATAACTATAAACTGTTGGCAGAGCACACAACCGCTGGCAGTCGGAATCCAACATCAACTGTAATGTACTACATTTACCTAATTTTATAGGAATTACACTTTAAGAGGCTCATGTGGGATATATATATCTGCTGTATAACAAGGGGTTAATCTCCTTAGAATATGTCAACACTCACCAGAATAAGCACTGCGAGAGAGCGAGAGAGAGAGCATTCTGCTATTTCATTGGTCAGCACGACTCCCTGTGTGCAAACATGTGCCTTCTACAGGAATCACTGCTTTCTAAAGCTGCACACACAAACACACAAACACACAAACTCACCGATTCAGATTCAGGTGTTCAAATATTTACGCTCTCAGAGCTGAGACGACCACTGGGATCATTGATCTGTGGTTCAACCTGAGCGTTTCAGTGTGTGAAGTGGGCGCACATGGCTTAGGTCAGTGCACGACACTTGATAGCTCCAGCCACATTTTAAGGTCGAGTGAGTTCAGACTGCTCCCTCTTAGGTCTCATCTTCCTGTCCCCTCACTTCTTTTCAGGTTTCATTACAGCTCACAAGCTGACATCATGGGCACGTTTTATAAGTGCAACAGTAATGCTGTAACCGGTGTTGAAAGCATTTCTTTATTCATAAAACATTAAATAAAGTGTAACTCTCTTTGAGTGGTCATCAAGACTTGAAAGTCGCTATATAAATATTAACCATTTAAAGTAACACCTCAGACATTCTGGCATGTAAAAATGTAGGTGAGATGACTCATGTAATAATCTAGTAATGTAATCAAGCAACCGAGTATTAACTACTGAATAATATTTCAATTGTGTAGTTTTGACAACTGAGAACTCACAAAATAATGTTGTAAGTTTTTGAGTTTGTAACATGGTATGTACGTAACATTGTAGTAATGACTACTGAGTAGTCCTTAATCCCTATTTGTGCTCCTTACCACTGAATACTCTTTTAATGATTACTGAGTACTCATGTAATGGTGTAGTACTAGCCACTGTCAGTAGTATCGCAGCTGCTGTTATCCCATCACATGTCTTTGCTTACTGAGCTCCCATAAGATTTACATACTGTCACTTCATGAAGTATATTGATACTACGGTATAAAGTCACATACTACAAGTTTCCCACTTCCCTACTGCTCCTTTTCCTTGTACATTCTTAATGCTTTACTGCCCCTAACTGTCCACCAGTGGAAGAGTTTCAAGTGAAGCCCCCTCTTCTTTTTCTTTCATGGTGCAGGCCTAACTTTTGAAAAAATAGATGTAACTGTGTTTTACGACAACTGAATTTAGCCATTAATAACAGCAGTTATGACAATATTGTAGTTCTTTTGCCCTTTTCTGTCCAAAAGAATGTGTAATGTACCTATGAAAAATATTGAGAGAGGTTACAATACAGAGAAATGCTGCTCTGACACAAGGTTTCTGTTTTGATCATCCAGAGAAGTTTTATTAAAGCATGTTGCTGGTTGGACTGCTTTGAAAGAGTAGTGAGGGGTTAGTACCTGAAGAACATGTTGCACATAAATATTCTGGCAATGCAACTCTAATGTGACACCAGGTTCAAGTAATGGTTTGGTGTGCTTAATGTTCCATCGCTCACAGCTGTCTGGTGGACTAATGCTTTCCTGTGTGTTTCTTGTTGCTGTGTGACTCCAGCTGTCATGGCTCCTAGCTTGGCCCAGGCGTACAGGAGGAGGTGGTGGATGGCCATTACAGCCATCATAGAGAACCTGCTCTTCTCAGCTGTTCTGTTGGGTTGGGGCTCACTACTCATCATGCTGAAGAATGAAGGCTTCTATTCCCACCTTTGCATTGGTAAGACCACCATCCAACCAGTTTTTGAATTTGAATTTCTGGTTCCCTTTGGTGCAATCAGAAGTTACCTACGTTTATCAGACACTTGCCTCTCTTGTATGGTTTTACATTAGAAAGTCGATGGCACGTCTCTGGATACTGTTTATGTGATCAGCTCAGTGCCACAGACGGGACGCTGTAATGTTTTGGTGTGGGTGTCATGTTCTGGGCATCTTATAGCAAATGATTCTGGTTCTTCAAGGAGACCATCAGTGGACAGTCAAGAACTGATCTCTCAGGGACATGACAACCATCCGTCAATTGGAAAAAGACAATTAATATTGCATTTAGATGTGTGTTCAACAATAAAGTGAATCTTGGATGTATTTTTCTTTATTTTCTGATAACAACTAACTCTTTGATGTCTTTTCTTTCATCCTTTGTGTTTTGCACTGTCTCCAGACGTCTGTTATTAACTATCCTGTCCATCAAGTTATCTAGTGTCATCTAGTGTCCACAGGTTACTAAGTATGTCTTTCACTTGCAGCTTCATTTTATTGTGTGTGTGTGTCGAATAACAAATTCCTTCACACAAATCACAACCCAAAATGTGACAACAGTAAGTCTCTTACCTCTGACACTGGCTAAGAGATTGGTGTCTGAGTTGTTAGTAGCAGTATATTGTGTTTGGTTTGGTTGGTACCTTGTGATGTCTGGTCTGCTCAGTGCAGTCAGGGACCTAGGTCATGAGTATTTGACAGAGTTGACCGTCTCCTGACTTGTTTTCCTGTGATTCTATTCAGATAATGAGACGGTCAACACTAACGTGACGTCCTTGGAGAGCGGCGTTTGGCAGAGTTGTGTGGAGCAGGAAGAGATATTGAATCTTGGCTTCACCATTGGCTCGTTCCTCTTAAGTGCAGCCACTTTACCCCTGGGGATCTTAATGGATAGATATGGGCCCAGACCATTAAGGCTCGTTGGCAGGTAGGACAGCGCTTCAGTAATTTTCTTTGATTTTGTATACGACAGTTTTCTATGTGAAAATGCTAATGATATACGCTTCATATATTCTGCATGTATTTCAGTTCATGTTTTGCAGCCTCCTGTGCAATTATAGCTGCTGCTGCGTACAACCCTGAAGGTGAGACAAGTCATCAGTACGACAACCCTTAAAGGAAAATCCCATCATGTTACAGCTTGGGTCTTATTTTTGTACTTTTACCATCAATCATTTCAGTTATGGCAACATTGCCACAACCCAAATTGCCAATTTTTGTATATATATATCAGTCACACTAACTTTTGATGGAAAATGACGGACAAAGGTACAAAACTTCAGAGCCACGCTGTAAATAAGAATTTCCCTATAAAGTGTCTTTGTAATTTACGATATTTTTTTATTTGTTCCATCAGTGTTGTCAGTCCTCATTTTCCTCGCTGTCTCCTTTAATGGCTTCGGAGGAATCTGTCTGACCTTCACCTCACTCACAGTACGATTCTCACTCACACATGACTCATGACAACTATCTCAGAAGGGTATCCTGGTCATTCAAGGACCAAAAAATGTGTTACAAAACTGTCTGTGTCAAAACTGACCGTAGGTTAGAATGTGACGGTGCATGCTGGTTAACGTCTGTACGTCTGCCCTGGGATACACTTGTATTGAGCCCCCCCTGCAACTGTCACAGGATAACCCATATACGTAGATAAGGGATGGATGTTTGTCTGGGGTGGTAGCAAAATACCATCCACATATAAACGAGGGTCAGCTGATGTCTCAGTGACGTAAAAGTCATCATTAGAGGGTGTATGCAGATCAGTCTGCACAGCCACTATTCTGCAAGGTCACCACCTGTAGCTTACATGTGCTCCTCTCAGAAGACTCTCTGAGGTGACTATAAGGTAGTATAATAATAACAGCTCTTGTTCAAAGAATCTGCAGCTGTCATTGTGCGTGTCCTCACAGGATTAAATGCCCCTCCTGCCAGGAAACATTTGGACAGGGAGTAGGACAAACACTTTGCTCTCTGGACTTTGTTGCCTGTCTGGAACATCACTGTGTGTGGCTACAGTGGACAGATTGCTTATACACTGGGATGTCCCATATCCCCACTTTCCATCTTGTCATCTGGCAAAGCAGTCTGTGATGTCACACATTATCTGTGTATCAAGTGTCACATGCTGGAAGGTTTCGACCTATAGGGAGCAGAGTCCAGCAGCAGCAGCAGATCTCTGACACCCCCTGTGACTCAGTGGATTTAGTCTTCAGTCCATTACAGACGCCCACTTAATGTTCTGTATTTGCGTTCCAAACACATTGTTTTACTGTTTTGTTGTGTACCTGTGATCATAAGCACATGTTCCTCTGTGTGTGTGTGTATTTTGGAAAGCAACACATGTTGTTCCACTTGGTCTAAATTCTGCTGCAGCCCATCAGCCAATCCCAAACGCCGGCAGTGAACACACCCTCCCACAGCCCTGTTCCCTTATCAACCCCACGTCCCTTTCTCTCTTCCTCCTAATTCCTGAGCTAGACCATGTCCTGCATTTGACATTGTCATTTTGGCCTTGTGTGTTTGTGTGTACTTGTGTGTGTTTGGTCCAGGTAATACTCATGTTGTGGGGACCTATATCTGTTTACAGTCTCATAATGGGAACAAAAAGCAAGTCCCCATAATGTTAATCATTACATTTCAACATGAAGACTAGGACTAAGATTAGGTTCAAGTTTAAGGTTTAGGGTTCTCTAGGAAATAAAGGTAGTTTCCTCTTCAGTCATGGTGACTCGACTCTGTATGTCTGTGTGTGTGTGTGTGTGTGTGTGTGTGTGTGTGTGTGTGTGTGTGTGTGTGTTTGTGTGTTACTCTGCTGATCAAACTATCCTAGCTGACCAAAATGTTTTGTGCTGTGTCAATTTTTATTCATCTAGCTTAATATTAAACTGACTCATCACATTTGTCCTTTTTCTTTAAAATCCCTCTTTTCAATGGTTATAACCAGTCAGTATTACCATCATTATTTTTTAACAAAAAAAAACTGTGCAGCCACACTTAAGGCTCCAAAACAGAGTACAAAGTACAGAGGCTGGTGGGAATATCATTAACATTGACGGACAGGTAAGACCTGGTAGTAGCCTTACATGAAAGATCAGGGATCACCAGTTTTTTCTTTTTACCTGCTAGCGGAACATTAATATTTTATGCATCTATAATTTTTTATAAAATTGATGAAAACTACCCTGTTGGTGATAGAAGGAAAAATGTATATGACACCTGAGTATGACATGACTTTCATACTGACTGGGTGCTTGTGCAGTACTGTATATTGGAGATCTTTACGTGACAGGTTTAAACAGGTTTGATTTATTTGAGCACTACAGGAGTGTTCAGGGCACAAAGAAAGAGTGATAGGAGGCAGGCTTGGGGAAGTGAAGGTAAAAACAGGTGGGGCAGTTAGTGGAAAGCGAGATGGAGAGCTATGGAAAAGAGAGAAGTAGATAAGAATGGAAAGACTGAGGTGAGAGCAAAGAGTCAACAACATGGAAACATGACTGAGGAGGGTGAGAAAGACAGATCAGAGAGGTTTGACACCAGTTGTACGAGGACTGAAGACATCAATCTGTATCTTTACATCTTTACATCTTTACATGGAATATTCACGTACATTCCTGATTGAATTTTCTTTTAATTATTTAACTATGTACAGCTACTGAATCAGTAATACTGTCAACACAGATGAGAGAAATTATAGAGCTGCAGGACAGTCAGTTGAACTTTACGATGCCAAACAGATGGACAGAGAGGAAAGTAACATGACCAACAGACACCAGACTCAGTAACAGATGATCAGAAGCTTCCCACACAATTACAACTGTGGTTACTCAAAGCTGACCCACTAACCACACAAAGCCCCAACAGCCCAGTTGACTCGTGTCATTGTTTTTGGAATTGTCATTAATTGAAAGCTAATTCTGGGAATTTTCACCACTAAAGTACACTATCAGCTATAATGGACCCCTCGTTGTGTGTGTGTGTGTGTGTGTGTGTGTGTGAGCCTGCAGTTGTATGTATGACCTGTACTTGTATGTAAGAGTCAGTAGCACCACCTGCTGGTTAAATTCCTAAAGTGCATTTGACTGGTAATTTTCACTTCCAGCATTCAGCTTAGTCGACTATCGACTGTGTATTTTAATACAAATGACCAAGGATCACTGAGCAGAAACATAATAGATTAAAACATCCACCACAGATGTTCACAGGGTGAAAGAGCTTCTTCTCCAGTTAACGTGGTAGCATGGTTCATTTGTTCATTTGATATAATGGAAGTTTTATTTGTTTTTATTTTCTCTCTCTTTAATCCAGCTGCCAAACATGTTTGGGAATCTACGATCAACCATCCTCTCCCTTATGATTGGATCCTATGCTTCTTCAGCCGTTACCTTCCCTGGTGTCAAGGTGCACATTGTCTCTCTCTTTCTCTCTCTCTCTCTCTCTCACACACACACACACACACACACACACACACACACGTGTATATATATTTACAATTGCATAATAGCTTTTTTCTTTAAAATTTAAAAAATAGTCCATTAGACTTTATTCAGTTGCACATTACAAATACGTTTTTTCTGGAGAAAATACATGATGTGATTGCTGTTAGCTGAATGGTAAAGTTTAATAAAATGTAAATGTAAATGTAGCAGCTGAAGGCCTGTGAACAGGACAAAGAGATGAAGAAACATTACAAGAACATTTCAAAGTGAGCAACAGAAAGAAAAGAACAGATTAGCCCCTTAAAGAGAAGAAAAGCAAGATAATTGGAGAAAGAGGAGGATGGAAAGATGAATTTAAAGAAGAAGAAACTTCAAAAGGAGAAATACAATTTAAATTAGAAGAAGAAAAAAGGAAGTAAGAAGAGTGCACTGGGAGAAAGTAGGGAGGGAGGAGAAGATTGGAATTAGTTACAAATGATGTTTGAGCAGCATTTTAAGTACAATTAATTACACATATTTTAAATATATTTTTCCTCACCATCCCTCTCTTCCTCATTGTGTTTGTGTTTATTTCTTCCAAACTGTCTTCCTCCCAACCAAACCCTTCTCCTCTTCCTCCCTGTCTTACTGCTCCAGTTGATCTATGACCTTGGCGTGTCGTTCCGTGTCATCATGTGGGTTTGGTCTGGTATGGCCTGCATGGTTTTCCTCAACTGCCTCCTGAACTGGCCTGCTGAATCCTTCCCTGCACCCGAAGACATCAGATATACGTCAGTTTGCTTTACATCTTGTCGTAACATAAGATGAGAACACACACACACACACACACACACACACACATAAACACAAGCTTCTAGAAAAAGGGCCTTTATACAGTAGCTGCTTAATGTTTCACCTTGTTCACCTGCAAATCTTTCTGCAGTTCAGAGTTTGTCGGAGTGGTGTGACTGCTATTCTGAAGAATAACTACTCTAAGTGAACAGTTGCCCCTGACGGCCGACAGTGTATGAATAGTTTGTGATAGAAAAAGCACAGCATACGGTGAATGGGACTTGCACTGTAAAGCACTTTGGTTGATAGCACTGGAAATATAAATTCAATACAATTCAATTGAAGAGAAGTCAGAGGGAGGAGAGAGAGACCAGGAACACTTGTGCACCATCGGGTTTCAGCTCAGACTACTTAAAATGAAAACAGTAAGAGTGTAAAGATGTTATTAATGATAGCAGCAACAATTCATATAATAATCAATTAATAATAGGTTTTATGTTAGTAATAATTGTTGTTATCCTGCAGCTCTGGAGTCAGAGATACCTGCAAAGAGATTATAAATACATTCATAAGTAAATAATTAATTAATTCACCATTTACAGTGAACACTGGCTCAATGGCGTGCTATGAAATCTACACTGTGGACTTCACCAGACTGTAGGGGATAGGCCAAAGGTGTATCAGGTGTGTGGGAGTATTGGTGGGTGGAGACATCTGAAAGCCACGGCTCAAAAAAAGACATGAGGGATGAAGAGGTCTTATGATAACATGATGAAACCTCAGGCAGAGCTCTGTGTCTATGTCAGGCTGACTGCAGGTCAGATTCAATGTGCAAGTTCAAGACCGACGTGCAAAGAAGAATCCAAATGTTCAAGTGAATGTACAAATAATGGGAATATCAGGAGCAGACGCAAAACTACCAAACCTATCCCATTTAAAAAAATGATTCTCTTTTCTATCTCATTCTGACTTGTCTGCTGCTGTAACAAGTGAGTCTCCACCGTGTGAGATCAATAAAGTTTTTACTCATCCTATGCCGTCTCATCACACCTAACCTCAACTCATCTCACCTCATTTCATCTTATCCTATCCAGGCAGACAATAAGTGAACCAGAGCCAGATCTCCCAATCCCAGTCTGTTCATCAACAGCCAATCCCATCCCTATGGTTCTCAGCAGCAGGGACAGTGAGACTTATCAGAATTGCGAGGCAGGTGATACAGTGAGGGCCTTTTCAGAAAACCTGCCCTGCCCCCACAGTGCACATGACATGAGCTTGGGTGATGGTTCATCTTTCACCATGAGACTCACCAGATGAATACAGACACAAGCATGCTAGAGTATCTGAATGTACTGTAAATCCCCACAGATGTTCTGAAACTAGCAGTTAACTGATGCTTCCTGTTCAATCCGATGGAGCTTGAGAGGATCTGCTGAAAGGAATACAAAATAAAATGTGCACAAAATCTGAAAAGTCTGAATACTTCCTGAAGCCACTGTATTATAAAGCATCCCTCTCGCGTGTAATATACCCCATGACTCTTGAAAGCAGGTTGTCAAATGATGTAATGTTTTGTTTTTGACATGGTAACAGATTTAATTGTGAATAATTGAGTTATTATTTGTAGATTTCCCATCGCTTTCTTTTTTCTACAGTAAAAGGGTGAAGATGAGTGGGGTTGTGACAGAGGACAAGATAACTGGAGATAGGTACGTCACTCATGTCAACCTCATGGAAGACATGATGGAGGGCAAGAAGCCAGAACCCGATCAGACAGACTCACAAAGCAGAGCCCAGGGTGAGTAACATTATTGTGTTTGGCTGGAAATGTCTCTGAACAGCATGTAGATCAGTGCAGCATTTGACACTGTCTTCTGTTTTTAGACGGGTGCAAAACAGTTGGGCAAAATAAGTGACATGGATTTTATTCAGTCTGTGTTCTGTGTTTGTCTCCAAGTCCGAACCCTAATGGCATAGTGGAGGTGGCTCAGTGAGCACCTCCAGGTGAACCAGGGAGAGGGGATTAGCACAGATGAGACTAGCTGGCCAATTAACTCTCCCTGGATTCAAAAGGCATCAGCTGAGACGCCAGAGTGAGAGAGATCGAGAGAGAGAGAGACCGAGACACGGAGAGGAACACAGAGACATGAGAGACACTGAGATTAGCTGCAAAGCTGAAATGCTGGATGCTGGAGTATTTAAGTTGAGCTGGTTAAGTTTATGTTTACACTGTGTGCTTATATGCATATAATAAAAAGCATACAGTACAAACAGGTTACAGTGCATTCTGGGAGTCACCACCTGAAGTCAAGGCTGCTTTTACATACCGGCTCTCTACTCCTTAGGCTCCGTGCCGCTCTGTCATTCTGTGTGCTCCCCTATCTTGTTGTGGAGTCTCATCACCATGGCAATGACCCAGCTGCGGCTGATCTTCTTCATGGGAGCCATAAACAAGATGGTGGAGTTTCTGGTCGCCCACGGCAACCCCGACCGTAAGCATAATAACTTACATGACTACTTCGTTATCAGTGAATGAATAAAAAGAACCCTGGATATCATCACTGTCAGGTTTACTATGTCATGAAGAACATTGAAACAAAAACAAGTGAAATGATTTAATTGACAAAAGGTGGGACAAGACTGATGTTGCAGCTGATGTTGAGCATTTCATTAGAATTTGTGGTAAACCCTCTGTGGGGATCCCTGATGACCTGCTGTTGTCTGTTTCAGCCTCAGAAGAGCTGCAAAGGGAGGTGGAGGAACAAGGTGATGCTCAAATCGCCTGCCTGTGTGTGTGTGTGTGTGTGTGTGTGTGTGTCTGCCTGCCTGCCTGTCTCTCTGTCCGTCTATCTTTTTCAACCAACAAAGACACCACATGCAGTTTATTTAGATTAACCAATTATTCATTACGACATATTTTGAAATAACTGAAATATAAAATAATTAGCCTAGCCTGATGGGATAGACACTAGCAGAGTGTTTACCTCTGATGCTGTTAGTTTTATTGACTTCACTCTGTCTCTGCCTGTCTTCCCCAGTTGGTTTCTACTCTTCTATCTTCGGTTCAATGCAGCTGCTGTGTCTACTGACTTGTCCCTTGATTGGTTACATCATGGACTGGAGAATGAAAGAGTGTGAAGAGGAAAATGCAAACACACAAACACAGAAGAGGTAATTCATCTATAGAGAAGTTTGCTTGTTCTTGTGTCTGTGTGGGTTTTCTCTCTGTACTTGTTTCCTTCCACACATGCAGATTGGAGATAGATTAATTGGAGACTCTAGGTGTGAATGTAATGTGAATGGTTGCTTGTCTCTGTATGTTGGCTCTGTTATACACTGCCGACCTTGTAGTAACAGTGTCATACTCCCACATCTTGGACTCTTCCTCATCCACATTTCTCCCTTAGGCCTGGTGCACACTACAGGATTTTCAGCTCTTGACCAATTTTAAAAACTTTGGAGACCACCGACAGATTTAACAGATTTGTATTATTATGATCATCAGAGCACTAGATGATTCTGCCAGAACATAAAACCACACACGAATCCAGAGGATCTCACAGAAATGCACATGATCAAAAATGACATCAGAAGAAAAACCAACACGGAGGATGATCAACATCGTCAGCTATAGCTGCATTATCGTGTATTCTGTTTTGCAGCAATAAACAAATGAAGAGGAATAACTATGGATGAATTAATGGCTGAGAAGGCAGAATAAGCTTGGCTCATATATTTTGCAGCATAAACTGGAGTTTGTTTTTAATGAGCTATACAAGTATGGTGGGGCCTCTGGTCGGTTCGCTCTCATTGGCTATTGTGGCTTCATGCTCAGTATACCATTGATAAGAGATCGGGAAGGATCCGACACAATCAGTAACATTAAGATTATTTTGCCAACCCCTCACACCGAAGGGTTATTTGACCAGACAATGGGTTCGGAATTGGGTCGAAAAGTGTGCACAAGCTCTACAGGGTGCAGATCTTTGATATTTGACATTTATCTCCTTTTGTCAGCCAATCAGATCCTCCAAAGAGAGACCGAAAGATCCAGAAACTGACGAATGCCATGAGAGCTTTCATCTTCACCAACCTTCTTTTGGTCGCCTTTGGAATAATTTCCTTGATTGACAACCTGCCCCTACAGGTTAGAAAAATGCCCAACAGGAACATTAATTTCAAAGTTTGCATGTATATATGCATATACAGAATGAAGATCAATACATATGAATTTACAGACACACACAAATGAAGAAACACACAGTGACAAGCTTGATGATCGGCTGTATATCTGTATCATCCTGATGTGTCTTTCTTTGTTAGGTGGTGTCATTTGTTCTGCACACTATAGTGAGAGGATTTATCCATTCCTGCTGTGGGGGCCTCTATGCTGCTGTGTGAGTACAACCACTATACATCTTTACTGGTCAACATTTTGAATACTAATCGATGGAAAATGACTGTAATGTGAACGTCTGTAATGTGTTTTTGGACGCCATACTTCCTCTCAGCTCCACTAAGCTTTTTAGTCTTTCATCAATTTTTTGGGTTTAACAACTCTACTGTGTGTTTATTCTCAGCACCCTCACTCTTTTCACTGTACACTACTTCTCAAAATAGAGCAAACAAACAAAACAGGAGGCCCATGGTGGTGAACACAGTGGAGCATTTAGCTGCTGATGTTTCCCTCACTCTCAGGAGTAGGTGGAGACCAAATCAGAGCTGAAACAGAGTGAATATTGGACTTTTATTCATGAGATGGTCAGAAATATGACAAATGATTGTTGACGTTACTCTGGTTCTGCTAGATGTATAAACATACACATATAGACTGCTAATAAGTTGGAAATAACAAGTTAAAAGATGAAAATATGTCAGTGTTCACTCAGACAGTTCCTTCTATCATCCATCCCACTCTAGGTATCCAGCCAACCACTTTGGGACACTGACCGGCCTGCAGTCAATGATCAGTGCTGCTTTTGCCTTGCTCCAACAGCCTTTGTTCATATTGATGTTGGGACCCCTCCATGGAGATCCTTACTGGGTAGAAACCACGCACACACATACACATACACACACAATCTTTTTCTCAATTCCGAGCCTGCATCCTTTGGAGGGCGTGGTCTACCCAGCCCACGAAGGAGGTGGTCTTCATGGGATACTTAGACCACAAAGGCTAAACCAAGATGACGGTCTGATCTACAGAGGCTTTCTGTGATCAGCGTCATCAGCTCATTCTGCCTTTTTGCTGTTGCCCTAGCAACAGAGCAGAAGTTGGACATGATGAGAAAAATGGAATTAGCCTTGGTTTTTATACATGTATACTGTTAGCTGTTTGGCTGGCATGATACTCATGTATTAAATGTCTTGCCACTTGCCTGAGTCTTTACCCCTTTGAAAAGCCGTTTGCCACCAAAGCGTCATGAATTCGAAGATAGGCTTGGCCGGTACGGGTCCACCCATTGGATCAGTCATTGAAAGACTGCATTTGTCGGAGCTTTCAAAATTGGACAGTCCTGCCACTGTGATGTAATCAGTCTTCAAATGCAGCCTCTGAAGGATGTAGCCCCTGAATTGAGACACAGCCATAGGATCATACACTGACATGTCTCTCGTTATAACAGATCAATCTGGGCCTCCTCATCTTCTCCCTGGCTGGCTTCCTGTTGCCGGGCTATCTCTTCTACCACCGTAGAAACCTGATAAAGGCAAAGAGCCAAACCAATTTGCATGCGGCTAATGGATACACACCAAATGGACTTGCTGATTAAGATTATTGACAGGAGTAAATAGTGGTTGATTTTTTTGTAATCACTTTTCAGTAGATTATAAATATAAAATAGAAGATATACTTGTAACCCACATGTCAGACTTCTCATTTAGAAAAAGAACTTTGAGGTGATTCCATCACCTAAAAATGATTGGCGGCGTCTCAGTGGTCAGCACTGTGGCTTCACAGGGGAGCCTTGTGTTTCAAATTCAGCTCTGTTCTTTCTTCTGTGATGTTTACATGTTGTGCCCTGTTTATGGGAGTTCACTTTCTCCACTTACAGCCTAAATAACCTTTAAGTGAGAATAAGTGTATGTGTTATGAACTGGTAAACTGCACACTGGGAAGATTCTGCATGCAAGTGCATCATTGAATGTGCTTGTGTGTTAATCAGTTATATTAAACACCATAAATGCAAGCCAATAAAGCAAGTTTTATCATTTAAGTTTAATTAGTGCCAATTAGAGGAACGTCATTTATTACCCCATAAGATTAAGAGTAATTGTTACCTATGGCAACAGAGGATGCTATTCAACAGAACTTTCATATTCTTGCTTTGAGTTGTTATATTAAGATAGCAGACTCAAAAAGTATTAGAAATTGTAGCCACAGTCACAGATATACCAAATATATATGACAATGTACAGTGTAGGTGATGATTTCACTTGGTAGTTTCTGCTCTTGAAGAGGCTCCTTGTTGAAGGAAACATGCTATGATGAAAGCAAGAAGCCCCAGAGGAAACAACCCTCAGGGAGTGTTACAAATAGTCCCCCGGTGGGCATTAAATAAAGAGTTTGACAGTTGAAATTCAGGGGGAAATTCTATTTATTACCTTACTAAAAGTTAGAAAAAATAATGTCTTTGTGTACATGTACTTGTTTAGTTAGATAAGCTAGATCTTAGCTTAGCTTAGTTTAGGATACAAACTGAAAGCAGCCAGGATATGTCCACCTACTGACATCGTGCTCATTGTTGAGATAAACTTGAATGTTTGTTTGGTAACTGAAACAGATGAAAGTTTTCCTTGAGGCTGCAGTTCATCCTGACAGTGAATTCAGGTCATGTATAGGAGTTGCACTAGCTCTTGGTTTACATAGTTGTTTTTCTCTATTTATCTCTATAATCGCAACAGCTAATGGAAAATATTGTAACAGAGATATATTAATTTAATTCCTTTGTTTGTGGCTTTAAACTCTAAACTGGTGCCAGATGTTTCTTATACAAGACCCTTGAATGTAACTTGACCCCGACTGATGTTTATTTAATTCCCTGGAGAATATCAGCTCATAAAAGTGAGAACTGGCAGGAAGTGTTTTCATAAACAGAACATTTGCTGCCCTTGCTAAAGCAATCATGAGCTCCCCTTAAAGGTACAATGTGTAGAATTTAGTGATATCAAATGTTGAAATGACATGCTGCAGCTGAACACCCCTCACCTCACCCTCCCCTTCCAAACATGAAAAAGAACCTGTGGTAGCTTCAGTTGTCATAAAAACTCAAAAGGTGTTTAGCTTAGACTTCTTTCAAAGACATGGCTGCCTCCATAGAGAGGACCCCCTCGATGTAAATATAAAAGTATTTAAATATAAAGGGTATTTTCTGGGGTAAAGAAAACTACAATTCATACAATTTAAATATAAAGAACTAGTGAAAGCATTATGAGGGTTATTCTACATTAAATTTCTGCCAATAGTTCTCTTTCACCTGAATCTTACACACTTTAAAGCAGTATAATTAAGCAAACAATTGACAAAGAAACATTTTGGAAACTTTCTCACTGAATTGGAATTGTAAACTAGTTTCCCAATAAATTACTCTAAATTCATAGCAGCCTTTACATTGACATTCACATAGCAATAAACTCTCTCTTACATGTGAGATATTTTAAGATTCTGTAAATGCGGTGTTTGGAAGTTTAAGGGTTTTAGGTTTTTTTTTATTTTTTTTTATTATTATTTTCTGACTGAAGATGACATCACAATCTATAGATCTTTTAGCCAATCACAGCTCTGTAAGGGTATTGTGCCTTCAATGTCAGTATGTAATAGTGTGAGACGCAATCACTTCCAATTGTTAATCCATCCAGACTGCTCAATCTGTTAAAACTTTGAACCAGGAAATAAGTAAGGCTCTCCAGTGTACATGCAGTATGTGTGAGGGGGGTGCAACTGACCTCTCTATCAGAAGTATATTTGTTTTTTTTATGCTTCAGCTGTGCAGTGAAGTGATACATTAATATGAGCAGAGGCAAAGTACACTCACATGATGGGGACAAAAGCAGGAGGGGACATTAAACGAATGCAGTGTCTGTCATTGTCCTTGCACTGATAACAGCCCTGTTATTATCCCTGCTGGTTGCATAATTTTATTGTGCAGTTATAAAAGAGTATATAAATGAGAGGTCAGTCTCACCCCCTCTCTCAAGCTGGCAGGGCATTGAAAAGCCACAAAATGTTGCGGATCAGAGTTCTATCAGTTTGAAAGCTTGCAAAGTAAAGACAGCCAGTCACTTCACAACCAGAAGCAAGTGTTTGTCACGCTGCCATGAATGCAATTGTCATCTGATTGCAACATAAGTATTATTTTTTCATACCTGAAGTGGGTGAAGAGCTGCTCTGTCCTTCCTCTGATTGACTTTCCCTGACCCTCACCAATCATCACACTTAACGCCAAAACCAACCCAACCAAAGACGGCAACAAGTACAAGCATAGGAACTAGGGTAGGGTGTACCCTGCCTCTGATTGGTCTTCGCCCACCTCAGGTAGCAAAAAAAACAAGATGTGTCGCCAGGAGGACCAAAATGAGGAGGAGGAGTTAATGCAGCAGGAAGTGAACTGACTATTGAATGACAAAGAATCTGAATGTACAAAGATTTTGGGGAACACGCTAGTCCCATGAATAGCACAATAACTAAATAATACATTACACTTTGATTATGATATCATTGAAGTGTTGAGATGACTGGAACAACCATTCCCCCTCCTCTCCTCCTCCTCCACCAAAGCTTTTCTGCTCAGGAACAAACTTGTTTAGAGAAACAAAAAAAAAGGGATGGAAAAGGTGATTTTAAACGAAATAGGGTACAAAGTTTAAACTATTAGTATTAAAGTACATACAACAGTAAAGCTGATTTATTTTACTGCAGCAATTAAAGAAGCAAGGAATGTCAGATATGATGAAGAAAGATATTAAAGTGTGTGTTGTTGTGGGTGCCTGCATGCTGACAGCACAACAGGGCTTTAGGTGAAATCTTTCAAGAGAGAGTGGATCCAGTGTTGATAAAAAAAATGTGAAGATAATTGGATAATAAGATTTATCCAGTGGTTATCTCATGACATGTAAAATAGTTGTAATGTGTGCCTGTGTGTGACATATGTAAGCATTGCAAGGCTTGCCTTGGTTTGAGCTTTATAAAGTGAAATCTCATGTATAAGAGTTTTGATTTAAAAGCAGTATTCGCACAAATAAAGAAAACAATTTTGTTGGAATCATGTTTGTTTCTCATGCACCTCCTCATATAGCTGCCTAAGGACAGATCAGGCACACCATACAACCGGCACACCTAAAAATACAAATCAGGAACCTTCAGAAACACTGGCCAAACAAATCACTGTGACAAAGTCTTCAGGAGATTTTACATTGCAGAAATCAAAAAGGTAGTATTTATTTTGTAACTACCATATTGGATTGCACCACAACATAAGGTTGTTCTTTTAATTGTATCCCTCCGCTGTGAATTGTGTTATTTCATGACTATCAGCTAAGTAAAGCCTGCTGGCCTCAGCAGAGCCAACTGTAACTTTGTTTGTCATTGCTAATTTTAAGGATAAAGAGGAAAACAAAGTTTTTCAAAAATGATATATTAATTGAAAGTTAAATATAAGAGGTGACATACATCCATCATCCCTATAACGGATTGAACAGATGGCTGATATAAAAAAAAGTAGGCTGGGAGGCTTAAGTTGTGCACTCCATTCTGTTTTATCTTGTTTTCCTATACACATGATGACAATAGAGTATCAAAAATCAGAGGCATACATTTTGGTTTTATCTTGGTTGGAATGGATATCTTTGTTGGATCGTCAGAACACTATGTGGATTTGTTCTCTATTTCTTCCCTGACTGTTACTAAACATACAAACGTATGGCAAGATCTTTCACAAGGGAATCAGACCCTACCTATCAGATCTTACCTGTCTGTCTGTCTGTCTGTCCGACTGTCTGTGACATCAGAGCTTACCTGACTGTCTGCTTGTGACATCAGAGCTCACCTGACTGTCTATCTGTCTGTGACATCGGATCTTACCTGTCTGTCTGTCTGTCTGTCCGACTGTCTGTGACATCAGAGCTTACCTGACTGTCTGCTTGTGACATCAGAGCTCACCTGACTGTCTATCTGTCTGTGACATCGGATCTTACCTGTCTGTCTGTCTGTCAGTGACATTAGAGCTCACCTGTCTGTCTGCCTTACTGTGACATCAGATCTTGTGTGACATTGGACCTCAATTTCTTCATGAAGGCTAGGATATACCATGACCTAAAGTCCGAACATCCGAAATGTGTCTCATGCCATAATATAATTTGATGATCATGTTGTCAGGAGAAAATATTATGTGACATCTGAAATCCTTACACTTCTGTAACTTGTATAAATAAAGTTTGAAAGTCTTTTGTTGATGTTGGTAATAAAATCAGCTGGAATATTCCTAAGAAAATGCTAAAACAAACCTGTCTGCTTCTGCTGCCTTGACTCAAAGGCATCCTTTTTTTGTACTCTCACAAAACCACTTGCCTGTCACTGGGTTTAACTAAACTAACTTCCTAAGAAATACCGACCGACGTAGGGATTCTTGATAATAATAATAAGATAATGACTGTTTGTTTCATTTAAGTTATGCCGCATAATAGTTAAATAAAACAACTATTGATAAGGAATGGAGGAATGAATACAGTGACTTATAATTCTGCATGGACAGGATACTCCAGTATTAAGAGAGAGAGACAGAGAGAGAGAGATAAACAGTTTAAACTGTTTTCTTTGTTCGACCCCCTATAGGAAATGGGTCATCACAAAATGATCCTTTGTTTTGTCATTGCCATGATTGCCCCTTTAGTTCAGATGCTTTATGGACACACATGCCAACTGCCAAGGGGCACACACACACACACACACACACACACACACACACACACACACACACACACACACAATGGGGAGAGATTAAATGACAGCAGGGGCACTGAGGATAAACCCACAGAGGTTGAAGAAGCAATAAGAATGCGCTCGCGGTTTGATTGACACACTTGTCGTCCAATCAATGCTATTTATATTTGCGACAATTCTGTGTTGGACCCTGGCATCAGTTTTGCAGCGCTGACAAATATGTCGGTTAGTGTTAATCTCGAGGCCACTGTTATTATGGACACAAGGGAAGAGCACGTCTTTCTCCATGGCTGATATACGCATGGGTTGCCTCAGCTGCTCTTCCGTACAGGCGGAGCGACCTGCAGAAGACTGCTAGCTATTTTTTAAGAAGTTACAAACCCAGCAGCTCCCACCACAAGCTAACAGCTAGCTGCCTGTAGTCAAATAACGCCAGGCGTTTCGGTGCCTGGCTAGCTAGCGTACTGTATATGTGTAAATTAGCCTAGCGCTGGGGAAGCTATCCACCGGAGCAGGACCCGTGCAGCCTGCTGGCACCGTTCAATGAGTCTCCTCTGGGTCTCACTGGATGTAACGAGCTCTCCGTGCGGACTCTGCAGCGAAGGGGAAACGAACGGAGGCTGAATCCATTCACCGGGTTTGGACTCCGGGAAACTGCAAAGCCCCTCGCAGGTGAGATGGACTGTTAGCCTGCTGCTAGCCAGGGCTAACCAATGCAGACCGGAGTAGCTTGAGGCTAATGTTAATGTTCCACGGAGAGAACAGCGTACAGCAATGTTCCTCTGAGCCTCACGCGTCACACTGTTTGATGCTCTCACCTGAACCGTGGACCGTGTTTACGCTCGTGTGTGCGAGACATTTTCTACCCACACGGCTCATTCACCACAGGAGTGATGGAGCTTGTTAAATATATAATTCCCATTAACGTGCTGCTGTGACTCAGTCAGATCTCCACCCAACCTGCTTTCATTTCATCACTGTGGACTCGACTCGTAATTCGTAAGTAAGACAGCGAATGTTAACGTAACGCCGGGATTTAAATAACACGTACATCTGCTCCTCGGTCCAGTAACGATCGTCCCCACCCAGGTTTCACCATGACCGACTGCCCGGTGTGGGCTGACTGCCGCTATGGATAACGTTATAGATAACGGTATTCATAACGTTATGCCGAAGAGCATTTCCTCCAATAATCAGAGCAATCCGATCCAAAAGCCTCTGCACGATTGACTTAAAATTGTAAGAGTGGAGCCCGCAAGGATTAAGGAACAGGTTGCTAATGAGTGTGCGTTCGCTTATCAAAGCCATCACAGGGAAATGTGAGGTTCTCGGTGTAGTTTGACCTTCTCTAAAAGAGAGTGGGCCGTGTTTGCGGGGCTGAATCGTGCTCACCGAGCTGTCAAACCCAGCGCTGCAGGGCCGCCTGACTCAATCCACCACGGTTTGCGTGTCACCTGGCTCAGCTGGGATCTGCCAGGCAGCCCCGCTCGCATTTGAGACATCTGGAAGCGTTTCTAATCACGCTTTCTCTCTCAACTGGAATAAAAACCACCCCTGGATTTGATTTGGAATTAGATTGGAGGCATCAATCGGCTCTTTTGCGGGTTTGGTGCATATACAGAGGCCCGTGACTGCAGCGGCTCATACACACACCCAGTGTTCATGTGTGTGTATAGTGCTGGTGATGATGAAGGCTCCTGTAGATTTAGGAGGGGGCTTTGCTTTCTGGGCTTTTTCGAGCTTTTAGCTGGAGGTTAGAGACTCCACCTGAAGGAGTAAGAGTGCACAGTGTTGTATAGTGTTCATCAGATAACATGGAAATGACTTATGAGGAAACAAATACTATAAATATATTTATTGAGAGCACTTCAACATGCCATCTTGGATGTAGACCCTTACTTGTTAGGCTGTGATTTATTGACCAGTTTGCTTTGGTAAAGGCAACCTAGATTCAGATGTCAGTATTTGGCATCATACAATGTGTGGCAGCGTGCCAAGTTTAGGCAAATATTGGCTGATAAACGAGAAGCAATACCTTGCTAGTTTGCATGATGATGTGCATGTGTGTTATCAGAATATTCAAAATCCTCTCCACTCCTGAACATTGAGCCTAATGCAAAAACAGTTTGTACAAACAGATTTGTTCTTAAATTGTGCGTATGAGCAATTATAGGAGAAATTGCTGCATTCCCCAATTTTCTTACAGGTACAAAAATAATTTACGAGTGGCCCAGAGACCTGTTGTAGAAGTCACAAGAAATTGGTCTGCTGTAATTCAAATAAAGTTTTTCACAAATTAATTGTGTATTTCATTAGTTTATAGCAATTATAATTGAGTATTGTGTGCGGAAATCACAACTCATAAATATGTTGACATTTATCGGTTAAATCGAATTTAAATTATATTTCTAAATCGTATTACTGTACCTGATATTTGTTGCAACATCCCGGAGAATGCACAATTCCTATTTGCTGCAAAAGATGGCTGGCCATGTAAGCTATGATTGATGTGTTTGATGTTGTGCTCATTCTCTTTGCCTTTTTCGTATCAAACAAAATCTTGGCAGTGTGATCCGAGACATAGCATTACCAATATGGGTTTAGTGGATTTTTTAAATTCCACTGCTGATGCTGGTAAAAAGTCTAGACTTTTCTCTCTGCATCTCAAGATTGATATCTCTGAAACGTAGCCTTATATGGTATAATTGGATGTTAATTTGTTATCCCCATATCCAAATACACACAGATGTTATTTACACACTTTTCTGAAAATAGAAGCCCTGGTTAAATCTGATGTGGCATGTTCATATACGAACTCACAGTATAACAAATGTAAGAGAAAATTTTAAGAAAAGATTACTACATGAGGTATTCATGTTCTTGCATGAGGTCCATTGACTCATATAGCACATATGTCTTATCTGATGTCTAGGCTCACAGGCATATGTATGATAAGACCCACCTCTTATAGTTTAGACTGATTAAGATATATTAGATAACATGTTTACCAACTATGTGAATATTGCCAATGTAGTAATCCCATTATGCCTCTTTTTGCTTCTAATTCTTCTTGATCCATATTTCACAAAGTTTCACTCTGTAATGTGATATAAAGTGAAAAGTTTGATGTTTTAACATGAAAGGTTTATGGTCAGGTCTCGGGTGGAGGTATACTCCCCATTACATGCTTTACTTAAATATACTTTTGAATAATTTTGAGGATTTCAGGCTAACCAGGAAGAGACAATGTATGTGTGTATTGACTTTGGTGTCCCTACACTCACAGGAGTGAAGTCATTAACTCTCAGGGGTGA